TCATGTATTAATCCTTGAAACTAGGGAGCCTGAAACTCGATGGCGTTGATACCAGAACGTGGTCGGTGTTGTAACGTAACGTTCGGTACTGGTACTTTAAATAATACGTGAACCAGATACACTGGTTCAATTTAAAATGTTAGTTTATTTCATTTTTCCCTTTTTTTATTCTCTAAATTTCCCATTTGTTCTTGTCATTCTGCAGATTATAAATTGTTTCATCTGTTAAACTAGATTTTATTACGTGTCGATGACGTCCTAGGGAACTGGAAAACAAACTCTTTACCGTGTCACGACATTATCACCTCTCATATTAGGTCAAATAAAACAATACTGTAAAAAAATAATAATATGACGAAGAGGAAGAGAAACAGATTTATTCACATTATCACACTTTTGTAATCTGTGTATATAACAGCATGGATGATGTCATATCGCACCCACGGGAAAATGACAGGTAGGCCCTATTTGTCATATAAAACCTGAAAGTGTGGATATGATTGGGTTTATTCGACTGATTCATTTCGTTGAGTACGAATTTTCGTTGAGCATTATTTTCATTCGACTGGTTCGTAAAAATAGACTTCGTTGACAACGAAAATTAACGTAACCAGAATGCGTTAATCAGCGTTAAGTTATGCACGTGACCAAAAAAATATGGCCGATTGTTCAGTTTAGCAACAACATTTTGCGTTAATATAATTTAGATTAAAATTCAGAAGATAAAAATTATAATATTTACCTACATTGAAGTAAAAAAATAATTGTAGGCTAACAGAATTAAAAAACTGGATGAAACCATTTTTTTACTAAAAACCCATACTGCCAAAATCCAAAGCAGTCTTGATTACGCAGCGTGTATCGCGGTAGGCCTAACTATGCAGCCATTTTGTTTTGTCGAGTATTTTTTTTCAGTTTTCTATTCGACTGGTCGTCTTCGTCGAATACGACCATTTTTAGACAGTAGATAGATATATGGTAGAAAACATAAAGCGAGAAACACTCAAATATTGCGCAATTAGGATCAGTCATTGTTAAGATATATTAAAATAATTGTATTCTAAAAACATAAACACCTTGTCTTGATCTGAATTCGAACCCAATATCGATTATTCTTGCTGTTGTAGAAAAGTAATATTATTATTATTTCTGCTGAACGATATTTTTAATGCTCTTAATCTCAGTAATGTACGGTACCACCCAGCGTTGATTTATTGAGGAGTGTCGGTATGATCACGAAATCTCGTTCAGTGAGGAAACTTCATCAGTTGTAGGATAAATCGGAACGGGTTGACCCCATCACCAATAAATAGGAAAGTAAATCTTTACATGGATGTCAAGTGCACACCTGAGTATACAATAATTTCCAAGCTGGCGCATCGAAATTTATATATTACTGTTTTTTGCATCCAGGAGCTAAGTGACTGACACTCCACTCGCACTTTCTGTTTGAGTTTAGTTTTTGCATTTACAGTATAATTGTAATAGTCTAATCATTAATAAGTCTACTCCCCTGTAAATAGAATAGGCCTATGTAATGTTCAATTTGACTGCCATGCCGATTAAATTTACAAATTACACTTTCTTTGTCTATTGTCATGAAAATGGTTGAAGTTGTTTCGAAATCCGCTGCCGTTTTATTATTCAACTTCACTATACTCTCCCAAAAATGTCAAAATCATTTAAAAAGTGAGCTAAAACATGGAAAAATAAACCGTTCATCGCGTTAACCATTAATCATACTCCCAGTCTTTCCTCCGTCAGTGAACGTTGTTGTAGATTTTAACAGCTTTTAAATCATATGCTGCGACCACCTGTTCTAATCAATACCTCAGACGGGTTAATCAAACCAACACTTTCTAAATATAATACGCAACATTTGTTCTTCGGTTGGATCGTACAGGTCAGTACTTATTTTGCTGTTTACGTATTTTTACCAAATAAATTAATGTTCAAAGCATGTGGTTTTGGCCGAGACTTACAACCTTCATAAGCAGCCCAATAATCGACAAGTGTGGATTATTTACCGAGTGTTCTTTAAAATTACAAGAAACATTGATGTGCTGGTACCTGGACGATAATTTTTACACAAGTTCATGACATGTTCCCTCGTTATTTTTAAAGTTTTGCAATTTTATTAGGCATAGCTTATTATATTTAATTTCTATTGTTTTATATACCGGTACCTGTTTTTTCTAAAGTGCTGATTATACACTCCAAGAAGTGTCGAGTCACCTCAAAATATTGGTACTGTAAAATAAAAGTTATGCAAGAGTGTTACTGAATGTTGTATTCATCATAACTATTATTATGACTTCACTATCAATATTTGTTTGTTTCGTTTATGTTTTAACGACTAGACTTTTTAAATTTTTTTTTTATAAGGACCAGTAATTTTTTTCCCAGGCTCCGTGTTTCTTTTTTTCCCCCTTTTTTTTGGCCGATTTCTGGCTCAAAATATTTTTATTTCCTTCTTATTTTACAGACTTTTCAAACATAGAACATTATTAATTTGCAGTGTACACTGTACTGGAATGTACTGTAGGTAAAAGTGGCCCCGCCGAAAAATGTTCCCAAATGTCAGATGTATACCTACTGTACTGTATTATAGAGGGTATATAGTCGGCATACTGCATATAAAGTACAATTTAATTGTTTGGTTTTTAAAAATAAAAACCTCATTTGAAATTTTACCTGAGCCTCAGTTTGTCCTTATTTTGTTCTTAATTTTTAAGCAATTTCAGCCTCAGTGTTCCTTAAAAAAAGTGTATTGGGTCTTGATCATACAAAAGTCGATATTATCTAAGCACAAGTTCATTTCCGTTACCGTATATTTACAATTAGGCTTAACATTCTGTAAAATACAAATTGATTAGACAGATGCACGGAGACCCACGGCATTGAGATCACCATGATGATAATGTTGACCTAGTAAACATCATAACTTATTTGCAGGCTCTAAACTACAAAATCATAATTAACAATTAGGCCTATTAGTTTTATTATTAGGTACCTATATTTGCCATATTATTCTAACCAATGTGGTGTATGGGAAACTCCATCGATTGTTGAAAACATTGTTGTAAATTTAAATTTCCTCAACGTTGATAAGCAGTGGTGTAACGTTCGTTCAACTTTGATTTAAATCTTTACTAAATGATAATAATTATAGAAACCGCACTCAGCACGCCCCCGACATCTTTGCAGGGTCGCATTAGCTTTAAATTCCTTATTATTGGAAAGTTTGATTTTAAAAAAAGAAGACACACATTGCTGCGGCTACGGTTGTCGTCCGACCCAATTCCGGAGAACGTCACAGAGAGCGGAGATAAATTAGTCGTCGCTCTCTGTGACGTTCTCCGTGGAATTGCGTCACAGAGATCGGAGATAGATTAGTCTACGGACGGTCCTGCAACCGTCGAACGACGAATTGTGTGCCCGGCTTATCCTAGTAAACCACACACCTGAGAATACGTCAACGACATCATATCAATTTGTTGTAAGTATGAAGTGAGGAAAACTGTGAATTTTGCGACGGAAATAATTAACTAACTTGATTTAAGCAAGTTCAATCGGTCGAATGAGGTGGGTGTCTTATAATTACAATGTATCTTCACGTCATTGCGTGTATCTATTTGTAATGATATAAAACGGTAATGGACTTACTAATGTTAATCCAATGCGCCCTCTCGTATTTTAAATCATTTTATATGTCGGCATACAAACCGTCCACATTAAAACTAGTTTTACTAGTAAACATTTATGATGGAAATAGATTGCAATATTTTGCTACTGCAGTATATACCATGAAGTAAGCAACTGATAAGAAGAAATTGAAAAAAAGAATAAAAAGAATAAAAATGCAGACCGTAATTTAAGCGATTGTGTATTGATTTTTGTCTAAAGGGTTAATTCTTTAAATCTCCATCATCCAGTGACAAGAACACGTCATTGTTTAATGGGGAATTTGTGAAAAATAATAACCATACTTTGTATGAGTTGCGTTACTCAATTGCGATAGGATGGTATGGTGAGTCATTTAGCAAGAGTTGAATGCACAGACAGTGTCAGTGCCATGCAACCTGGCGCTATGTTCTCGACGCCTACCGCCCGTAGAAAGACACAAAGGTCCTCCTAAGTACTAATTCGCGTTATCCTCACTTCTAAATAAATGCTTACATCGTCAATTATAGCCAGGATGCATGAGGTTCTTGGATTGGTCTAGGCCGCGATCACTGGCCATGCCACCGGAAAATGATGGCACAAAAGGCGCATCGTGTCGCTGAACCACCGCGTGTGCTGTGAATAAACACGGCTTGTATCCTGTTTTGTTTGACGGCAAACGAAATCATATTGAAGGGTGATATCTACTGGAGGTTTGACCCATTTTACGGGATTACCCAATAAAAGTCAGATACTGTCTGATTTACTTTGAATAAGCCCCACAGCATGATCAGCTTGGTAAAGTCAATAGGCATAGGCTACCTAAGTCAGTAGGGCCCGGAGAACATTCTACTAACCTCGCTCTTGATCCGTATGAAACTACCTCTCCCGATATAATTAAGGCTCCATTAATATCGTAATACGTTTACACGTATGATGATAAGAGATTATATTTAGCCGGCCCCCTATTCGTTGCAAAGGAAAATTTTAATGTCCCTGTCGGTACACAAATTAGATCTTTCCTGTGCTTTCTCCCTTTAAAGCCGCTTCAGCCCAATCCATTTCATAGGTTTACATTGAAACTATGCTCCAAAAAGCGAGTAAATTTCTCTAGTGTGAATGGACTTTCCCAGAGTGTCAATCAAACCCAACAACTGACCAATAAGATTAGTACTACTAGGAATTCACCTTGTCCCACGACACACGTGTTGCCCTACAAATGCACGTATTTACGTACGCCCGTTGTTCAACCGTGGCATCGATGTCCGAGTGGCTGGGCTTAGCGGTCATGGAAATGTTCTCTTAATTATAATTTTATATCACTTATATATCCACAGGTTGTTGTAAATGGAACATTGAAAGGGAAAGTATTTTGTGAAGACATCAAGAACAAGTGTCCGGACACAGAATGTGAAAACGGCGAAGATCCAGTCCAGCAACCCGGGGACTGTTGCAAGAGTTGTCCTAGTGATGGTATGATTTATATGTTCCAAACATTTTCCCAAAACTTTCAAAACGTACGGTATTGTAAAATTCTTGGGTAACATACGCTGCATTACAAATTGTTACAATCATGAATACAATAAACACATCGTTAAGCATTCTACTACATTACGAACTTTTAATTAGAATGATATTATTTGACGATATAGGTACATTTTCCTTTGTTGAAATCATATAATTAAAATGATTGTTGGTACGGTAGGCCTAACAGATTCTTGGAGAGTTTTTGCAATACGTTTTCTGATAAAACCGTGTATTGTAGAGGTGTAGGCCTATACGCCTACTCTTCGCTTCCGCAGGAGCGCGATGCTAAATACGTACGTACACCGAGCTAGTTGCAGACAAAAACCTAATTCGTATATCGTAACAGATCCGACACTTGTTACAGTATGTTATTATTTAGCTTAGTGAGAATTACTAGGCTACATGAAAACAAGATATAGGGGCCTAAACCTATACAATTGACTGACATATTAATCAGAATGAAGTATCACATCTATTCGTTCATGTGTGGACGAGTAAAAGTACAAGTAGAGTGAATCGGGACGGCGGCGAGATTAATCAATTGGAATACCTACTCGGAGGTGGTGAAACCTTACTTAAAATGATGAATAATGGGGATTTGTAATTCTCATCTTAGTTTCTACAGGAAACATAATAATTACATCTCTAAACACTCAATACTCGTTGAAAGTCACTCAGCCTTCGAAAGAAGGAAGTATTTTCATCTCAAGACGTGTTTAAGTAGGCCTATTGAGTAACAACAGTGGTATAATATTTGAAAATAGAATGTGTAGTTGAATCAACATTTGTAAGTACCCATATAGGCCTACGGTATGATTAACATGAAAGGAAATGTGCAAGCAAACAGGCCTATATGTGAACTTGAGTTTTTATTTATTTATTTATTTTTTACTATTTTCGTTAGCTCTTCAATTGGTGCGTTAAATCTTGTCATTTTTTTTCTCACGAAAGCATCGCATTTCCATGCCCGTCATCATGTTGGGCAGTGTCATCATGTAGTTGGCAATGCAAGGCCTACAAGCTTGTCATGTATAAAATAATAAAGAAACATCAATAAACTCGACAGTAAAATATCAGAGCTATGCAAGTAGGCGGAGGTGGGGCGGAGGGCAGCCGGGAATCGTACTGAAATATATGTGTTTGTTTATTGTTTTACATATTGATATAATACTTCAATAACCTTAAATATTATGACATTAACTATGCAGAATCTGTCTCTATTAATTAATATAACTTCCTGTGTGTATGCGTGAGTGAGAGTGGTTCGACCTCTTGGTAGAAGGATAATCATAAGTACGCGAATGTGCGAACCGATGTTTATTGTTTTACATATTGATATAATACTTCAATAACCTTAAATATTATGACATTAAA